AAAAAAAAAAAAAAAAAAAAAGGAATGGGGATATAGCTCAGGACTGAACCATTTTCCCAGCATATGAGACACTAGCCTCAATCCCTATCACTGGGAAATATACAAATATTTTTTTAAAAACTGTACACTGATTTCAGCCACACAAAAAAATACCCCATATATTCTAGCTGCAAACCAAATGTCACGTTTGAAATCTTGAAAACGCGGTCTAACACATGAACAACCATTTACAAACCACTTCTCTTCTAATCATACTACACAAAAAAACTGTATTTCTAAAAGTAAACTTCCAGATTTTAAAAATGGTTGGAAGTCAGGGATGGTAGTACACCTGTAATACTGAGATGCAGAGGCAGGAGGACTCAAGTTCAAGCCCTGTGCAACTTTAAAAGACTCTGTCTCAAAATATATACATGTATTACGCTAGGGATTTAGCTCTGGCACCATGCCTGCCTTGCAAGCACAAGGTCCGGAGTTTGAGCCCCGGTACCCAAAAAACAACAACAAAAATACATACATATGTATATATACATGTATATATATAAAAATAAAAATGGTTGGAAAGGTCTGAAGTTAAATTAGGCAATTAGCTGAACGTTAAACTGACTCAGTAATTCCATCACAGACACAAAGTGGAATCAAAGGCAGGTTTGCCCAGGGTTGAACTGGACTTTAACATCCCACTAGCACAGAAGGACAGGCCTCAACCTCCCAGCCAAGACAGACATCTGAACAAAGACAGTTTAGAGTGTGAGAGTGACCTTCTGTTCCACCTCATAGTGTGGTACCTTTTGTAAAGCTAAAGTCCATTTCCCAAATTAGGCAGATTACTCTCACCATCTACCCTATGTAACAGCACTTTCCACTACTTCCCCTCCACCATCACAGCAGGCAAGGAGATACAGACGGTTCTACTTGTTGGGTGACTGCAGGCACCTCTACGGAGCACAAAGTGCACAGCAGCAAGGCAGGAGGCCAGGGACACATTCCCACAGTCTTGGAGAAAAGAGGAGGCTCAATGATCCACTTGTGAACTACAAGGCTATTGTTCAGATACCAATGCCTTGGAGAAAATTGCTAAGAATTTAACATTTCATCTTCAGCTAAGAGAAAGGGAAGGTTCAGAGATTGATCTCCAAGTTTTTGTTGTTTAGAGTTTGGCCTTGAACTCCCTGCCTCAGGCTCCAGAGTCCTGGCAGGATTATAAAAATTGCACCATCACCCTTCCACACAAGATCTGATTGCCTTCATTTTGCATCTAACCTAGAGCTGCCCTAGGGCCTTCCCTACATTCACACTCAGTCCCAAGTCTCTGAATACTGTAAACATCGCTGTAAGGTCTTTAAATACTATACATACCTTCACATACCCATGTGCAGTATGAGGCTAACGATGGACTCCCATTAACTTGCTCCCACTCGAGGTTTGCTGGGCCCCCACCTCTGCAGCTAGGCAAGTGCCTCCTAATCACAAGCCCAAAAGCTTGAGTCATCCAGACTTTTCCTCCACCCTCCCCTTAAGTGTCCTGAGCCGCACGTTCCTCATAACCCTTGCTGCCCCATCAAGCCAAGTTCCTATGCCTTTTTGAGCTTAGCAGACACCAGCTGTCCTTATCCTCTATCAACTTCCTTTTTGTTTTTCTTTTGTTTTTTGAGACAAGGTCTTGCCACGCAGTTCAGGCTGACCTTGAATTCACCATGCAGTTCAGGCTGACCTCGAACTTGCAGTGAACTTCTGGAGTGCCGTCACGCCCGGATCCTCTATCCACTTTCAAGACCAAACACGTCCCCAACCCAAGGGCCTGGGCACAGAGAATCACTTCCTTCATCCCAGTCACCACAGCCTCTCCTGAGACCTCTTCCCTGAACTGCCCACATCCGCCAGCACGCTTCCTTCACACTCCGGGCCCCTCTGAAATACCCGCTTTCCCTGGCTGTCCCGCTCTCACCAGCTACCTTGTCCAACTCCCATTCTGACCTTCCCTGCACACTGCGTAACCCAGAAGACGCTCAATGAAGGAAAAAGCAACAAAGGCTCTCACACAGAGAGCAACACCCCGGGAGCATCAGGAGGCAGAGATGAGCGAGCTCAATCTACCTTGCTTTTCGGCTCTCAACACCTGTGACCCACATGATGCTCAGCTTCTCAGAGACAAGTAAAACAAAAAACGACGAGGTGTGTCGGCCGCTTTAAAAATGGAAGCCCCTAGTATTCTGCAACACAATAACCCAGCTGACCTGTTCCGGCTGAAACCAGTTTTGCTGCCACCTATCCCCGGAAAGACGCTCTTCAGGCCGGGAGAAGCAGAACGCCCTGCGCCCTCGGCCGCCGAACTGCACTTTCTGAGAGCAAGACACGGACGCCCGGCCCCTCACCTCTCAGGCCTGCTGTCGGGGCGGCGCTCGTCCTCCTCCGCATCCTCCGGATTCCGGCGCCTCCCGTCGGCTCTGCGCTTCCGCCCAAGGCTCCATCGCGCGGGGGACGGCGGGCTGCGGGGTGTGCGGGCGAGGCCGATCGGACGGGGCCGAAGACCCGCCCGGCCGCCCCGGGAGCCCCCCGCACCTCGGAACGCGACCCGCCCGCACGGGCCCCCCGCGGGCGCTGCACCTCAGGGGCCATCCTCCCTGCCCCACACGACAGCCCCGGACTCCCCCGCCCCGCAGGCCCGCTAACCTGGCGTACCCAGGTGGGCTGCGCGGCCGGCAGGCCATGGCGGACCACTGGAGACTGGCGGAGGCGAGCGAGACCCAGCGACGCCGGTGCGAGACGGAACTGCACTGCCCACGCCCCGCCCCCAACCTCCCTTAAGGGCGCTAGGCCCCGCCCCTGACTCTCCCGCGCGCGGGGCCGGGCGAGACCATAGGCCCGCACCGGCGGGGGAGGCTCGCTCGGGTGAGCAGGCCTCGCGGTAGGCCAGGGCCTGGGCCGAGGCTCGGAGACAGCGGGGAGTCGCCAGACCTCGCTGCAGAAGGCTACCTCTCGGAAAAGCGAGGCGACGTCGCCAGCTTCGCTGAGGAAAAGCAGGGGAACAATCGGTCCCCCTCGGGCTTGCAGGCGCCGCGGCTGTCCGAGCGTTGATTGGCCGCGCCTTCGCGGGCGGAGAGATATTGGCGGGAGATTCGGCCGCGCGCGCCGAGGACGCCTGGGAAGGGCGGGGCAACCGGCCCTTCTGTTGGTCCGTCTGAGCTGGCGTGTCCACGATTGGCCCGCCCATCGGAGACGTCCTCTGATTAGCTCGGAAACAGGGGCGTGCCCTTGCGCATACTGGAGCCCGGAAGGCAGGGTCTATTGGGCAGGATCGGCTCTTCCGCGCAGCGGAAGTCGCGCATCTGGGGCTTGCGGCCGGTCGCTTTTTTGGGTTGTTTTCACGGTATCGAGAGTTGAACCTAAGGCCTTCTCACAGAGCTGTATCCCCAGGCTTTATTTTTGGGCGGGGGGGGGGGGACAGGGTCTCGCTAAATTGCCCAGGGCGGGCTGGAATTAGGGATCGCCCCTCCTCAGCCTAGATGGTGGGGATTACAGGGGTGCGCCACCACCTCGCCCGACTGGTCGGTCGCTTTAAACCATTAAAAGGCTTTGGAGTAATCTCTGAGGCAGCCAAAAATCGCCAGGACGCTGGATGTTCTCGGTCGCACACCTGCCACCGCTGTCTTGCCACTACCCCGGGCTCACGGCTCAGTACTCGCTCTAGGGACTCGGTTCACACTCTGCGTGAAGCTGTGGTTGAATCCCAGGCGTGGACCCCAGATACCACTGGTCTTGTCCTCTGCCGTGGCTCCAGGGCCTGAACCGACTCCTGCACGGGGCATTGCGGGTTCTGGCGTCCTGCTGGGCCCACGCCTAGATGCAGCTCAGGATGACCCAGCCAGAGCAACAGTGGGGCCCACGCCTAGAGGATGCAGCTCAGGATGACCCAGCCAGAGCAACAGTGGGGCCCACGAAGAGCCTGCGCCCAGGGCTTGAGGGCTGGGCTTTGGCACTCGCACCAGTTTCTAAGCTATCTCATTCCCCCCAGCCGTTGCCTCAAATGTTCCAAAGGCTTTGGTTTTAGTGTCAGGTGAAGCAAAACATACAACGGTAAGGAGTAATCTTTTATTAAATACTGTATTGTTTAGGTACACTTTTATTTACAAAACTAATTTAACTTATGGGAAAACTAACCCCAATCCACTGGCTCCTCCTAGGCAGCCCCCAACACTGCTGGCTGGGGAGCTCCTGAAGCAGTGCGCCAGGCATCCCCACCCTGCAGAGCTGCCCTTGCTCTAATCAGCTTGCCTAGGGCCAGGTGCAGTAGGGAGTCAGGCAGAAAAGAGCCAGGCTTCAGGGGTCAGGGCCATAGTGAGGCCCCTCCAGCAGCCCCACCTGTCAGAGCTGTGCCTGGGGCCTCCCACCTGCACCAGGTGGAGCTGCCAGCATGCCCTTCAAGAGGCATGATCACTGGGTACATCCTCTCCTGAGCTAGGCAGACCTAGGGCTGGGGCCTGGCTCTGTGCTGTCCCAGTGGACGTGGTTCTGGGTGTTGCTGTGGCACCCCAGGCCATAGCCCAGCAACACCCTCACCTTCACACCACCCGTGCCCGAAACCAGGTGTCTGAGACCTGGGCCTTCTTTGGCTTGTGGGAGCAGGAAAAGGCACCAAGAGCACAGTGAAGACCTCCAGGCACTGGGCGGGGCCTCAGGAAGGTTGGGAAACCACCTGGCCGTCCCCAGGCTGCCACACCTGCTTCCTGATCAAGGAGTGGCCCCTCAATTCCCTGCAGCCACCAGGAAGCCCCGGGCTGGGCCAGCACACAAGTGGCACCCCATTCTCCCCTCTACTGCCAGGCTCCAGCCCAGGTCCTCCTAGCAGCCTCTGTGGCTTGGGAGGGGTCCCACAGTAAGTGGCCAGCGCCAAGACAGCAGCTGAAGAGCAGGCCTGGGTCAGATGTGGATCTGGCTTATAACTGAGAGCAGGTATGCTCCATAAAATTAAGGCAGAGTGATCAGGTGAAGGCTGTGGGGTCAGACCGCAGGTCTTGGGCCCTGGAGAGCTCAATGTGGAGCACCTGCCCCACTAGAGACAAGTGGGCACAAGAGAAGGTGCTGAATGCCCTGGGAACAGGGTGTCTCTGTGAGAATTTTTCCTAAACAGAAGTCCTTGACCTACCGCAGGCTGGAGGCAGAGTAGCTACAGGTGATGTGCTTGCCATCAAGCCTTTGGCAGGGGCCCAGGGCACTGGCTGCTCCTGAAGGCAGCTGGCTGGGGACAGAGCCAGACTCAGACCCCAGAGGCCCCACCAACAGCCACAGCGACAGTCAGCGCACAGTGCACACATCCAGGATGCAGAAGCGCGCACGGCAGGTGGGGCAGGGCACACGGCTGGCCAGCCAGGTGTCAGGGCGCTGGGGATCCTGGCGGCTGGCGAACCATTTGCCCATGCAGGTGAGACACCACATGGGGCGGCAGTAGCACTGCTGGCACTCCCCTGCAGCTGGCTCCTGGCAGGTCTTCACCAGCTTCACACTGGCACAAGTCTGCATGCAGCCAATGCAGGGCTCCAGCTCCTGGAGGGAGCACACGAGTCACAAGAGCCCAGCAAGATAGGCCCAGGGGAGCCCACCCCACCCCTCAGCTCTGGGCCCACCTGGCTGCTGGGCACCGAATAGGCCGGGTTGACCTCCACCAGGGAGGCAAATGTCTCCAGGAACAAGTCGCCCAGGCTCTGGTGGATGACCACGTTGGCAGCGCTTCGGATGGGGGCCTGGAGCTTCTCACACAGCTCGCCATACTCTGTGGAGTTCAGCCTGTGGGAGGTGCAGCCTGTGGGCCCTCGACCCGGGGCCCTGGAGAAGTGCCCAGAGCAGTGGCCAGCAAAGATGCCCACAGACCCCACAGCCACCCCACCCTGAGGGACAGGAAGAGCTGGGAGACAAGCTGTCACCTAGCCACAACCCCAAGCCATCCTAGCCCACATCCTAGGAAGCTGCAGGGGCAGCTCAGGGAGAGCAGAAGGGATGGCATGTGTGCAAGCTGAGGCAGCAGTGGCCCCAAGGGAAGGTGTCACACAGGCCCCAGAGGGGCATGAAGGCCACGGAGTGCTTACCGGATGTCAAAGGGCTGCACAGCAGGGCTGACACTGGCCACATGGATGGTGAGGAGCTGCACGGGCAGGTTTGAGTCTGGTGAGAGCTCATGCTGCCGAGACTCTGTCACAGTCAGGTGCACATCCTGTTGCTGGGCCACATGCACACGGTATGTGGTCACCTTCATCACCCACGTGTCTGTCACGATTACGCGGGCACCTGGTGCCCCAGTAGCAAACTTGTCAATACGCCGGAACTCAGTGTTGATAGAGGAGGCAACAGCCTGCCAGCCTGACTGCGGGAGGGTGTACATGGCCAGGGTGCGGGCCAGTGGGTGGTAGGCCCACTGGTCCTGGGACCAGTAGTAGATCAGAGTGCAGGCAGCAGAGGGGAGTGTCACAGCCAGCAGGAGGAAGAGCTGCCAGGCTTCTGAGGCCTGGCTGGGAGAGTAGAGATGCTTTTCTGAGGCTGCAAAGCACATGCCCACATAGTAGCCTGCAAAAAAGAGGGCACCTCAGGGAGGGTCAGGGCTGCTAGGGGCCATGCTCCCTCTGTAGTGGTCATCTCTGGGCTGGGAGAAGGAAAGGACCACTTCCTGTCTTGTTGTCACTTGCCCTGAGCCTGGACACATCCCAGGGCATGGAGCTTCACCACGCCTGTACCTTTACACCAGGCCTGGCTCAGCCAGATACCGTGTGTTAGGAGAAAACATTTTCAACTTAATGTTGTACAATGCATAAACACTGAAAAAAAAAAAAAAACAATAAACAAAAAACAACCTAGAAATGTAAACTAAAAGCACCTATAATTACCTGATGTCACCTTACACAGAGCTGCCCCCTGCAGACCAGATAAAGGACAACCTGAAAGTCAAAATGACTCATAGAGGGCCGGCCGGGGGCTTAGCTCAGTGGTTCCAGCGCCTGCCTCACAAGCGCAAGGTCCCTAGTTCAATCCCCAGTACCAAAAAAAGAAAAAATGACTCATAGATAGTGAGGGACTGCATGGTCAGGGCGCAGCTTGCAAATTATGATAGTAAATGCTTGTTTCTGGCCAAATCACTACATATTAGGATAACTTTTCACACAGCAATAAGTAACTAATACGTCTGTTAACACTTGAAAGTTTTCACAAGTTAAAAACAGAAGCTGGGCCAGGGATTTAGCTCAGTGGTTTCGCTGCCTGCTGAGCAAGCACGAGGACCCGAGTTGGATCACCGGTACCAAAAAAAAAAAAGGCCACATGTAATGGCATTAAAAAAACAGAACCTGGGGTGATACTGGGGCCTATGACTGGCTCTGCTACCGGCTCTGGCATCCAGGAACGGCTGTGGCCCCCAAGTCTGGGTCCCCATGAGGAGCCCATGGCAAGGGTGCCTCCATCCCATCTCTGCCTCCAGCTCTGCAGTGTTTTGGCTGCTGCATTCTCAAAAATAAAAAGCAACACTTCCCGTGTTCACAGAGCTATGGATGTGGTGAGCCACCTCGCATCTGTCTTCCCAATCACAACCTTCTCTGCCTGTCTTCCAGAGGCTCCCCACCTCTGGCTACTGCCATTTCCCAACACTGCCCTCAGTCCACCCCCCAGCCAGCTCAGAGACCTACCTCCCTGAGCCCCCCCAAGCGCCTGGGATACCACCCAGCACTACCCTGGACAGCCTCCGAGAGTCCTGACCTGGCACTGAGGCCTGCGCACCTGTCACCCCCAAACTTAAACTGCCCATCTCCCCTGCTGTCCCCGCCCCTAGCACCCAAGGCAACGCTGCTCTCTCATTCCGCCCCCCCCCACACACACACACACAGACTGCAGCCACAGTGCACCCCAGTGTCGGGACGGCTCCGGACTTGAGCCGCTGGGCCGGAGCGTTTCTTTCCCTTGCAAGCCCGGAAGAGCAAAGACCCCGCGCCTCTGCCCGCTCAGCCTGGGCTTGCACTAGGGTCACGCTCCCTCGGGTGCCCCGGCCGCCTTTCCCACCCGCACTGATGACTTCCGGCCCCGGCCCAGCAGGGGAGATGGCCGCAGCCCCCTCCTGCACCCCCGGGCCAGCAGCCTGCACGGCGCCTCAGAAACCCTGGGGTCTCGGACTGCGCCTGGCTCGACGCCAACCCCAGGCCCACACCGGAGGCTCACCGAGCGGCAGCAGCGAATGGCACAGCAGTGTGGCGGCCGTGCGACGCAGGTGGTAGGGCACGAAGGCGGCGTCCTCGCTGCCCAGCCAGCCTGACAGCAGGTTCTGCACCGTGAGCCCGGCCGAGTGGAACTCGTTGGGCGTAAACACGAAGCATACGGCGAACACCAGGTAGGCCAGCGTAAAAGTCACCTCCGGGCTGTCCATCGTGCCGCCGCCCCCAGAGCAGGTAAGAAGCCTACACGTCCTGTTCCGGGAGGTCGGCAGGTTGTGGTCATTGCCGTCGCCGTTGCCTGTGGTACCGGTGTCGCCAGGCCACCCGCGGGGCACCCCGGGAGATAGAGTCGCCCGGGCCCGGCCGCCCGCGGAGCACTCTGGGAAATGGCCGCCGGCAGACTCTGGGAGACCGAGTCTCCACTCGGGTAGCCCGCGAAGCACTCTGGGAGAATTCTCAGCCCTCCCCCCCCCGCCCGCCCCACTTTGGGCTGCCGGGATATTCCCCACTAAGGTGCAAGTTTCTTGTCACGAGCAACCCTGTAGGGTGCACTAAACCGGGTTTCATTTCATAGCTAAGAAAGCTTAGGATCTATTAAGCGGGTCTCTGGCCCTGGCTACAATTCACAGCACACTCGCTTTCGCGGCACAGCCCGAAATTCCTGTAGCGATGGCGGGCGGGCTCCGCAACCACTAACCACCCGAGAGCAACCGTAAACAGCCCTAAGAGCTCACCACTCCTAGCGTGCCCTCGGCCGGGAAGCGGAATTGTTGGCGCGTAAGGAGGCGGGATCTGTAGGGCGCGGCCTTCTATTGGTCGCCGACCCTGCTGCCCCCGGCCACGGGCTGATTGGTCGCGCGGCGCCAACCGTCTGTATTTGAATCCTCGGGCGCGGCGGGAGGCGTCGCAGGCTGGGAAGGAGGCTCGGCTTCCTTCGGCTTGGTTTCCCTGTGCAGCGCTCTTCTTCCCTCACGGCGGGCGGCGGCGCAGGCCCACAGCCCGCCAGCGACGAGCAGGTAGGCGGCGGCCGCCGGAAGCCCACAGAGCGCGGGAGCAGAGGCCCGGGCAGCGAGGCCGCCAAGCTGCATCCCGGGAAGGCCCTGGGGAGCCCGCCCTAGCCGCGCCGCGGCGTCGGGGCCCCCTCCGGGTGGGGGTGGGGGCTGGATGCGGCCCTGCCCTGCCCTGCCCTGCCCTCCCTGAGCCTCCAGACCCGTCCTGGCCGCGCCCTGCTCTCAGAGCCCGGGACCCGTCTGCCCCATCTCAGCGTTACTCCATTTCCTCCTGCGTCTCCCTACTCGGCTTTTTGCCTCTGTCCCAGGGGCGCTTTCTTGCTTCCTGGTCCTTTGTCAGCCTCATTCCTCTTCCTGACAGGCCTGGCCCCAGCCTCGACCTAGTAACTTCTCTTGGAAACGCTTTCTTCTGCTTCCCAGCGGGCAATGCCAGTTCCTCTCTTTTCCAGCACCTGCCTCCAGCAAGAAAATGCCTCAGGGTTCCTCAGGGCCCAGGCCACGGCCTCTTCTTGTCAGCGCTAGCCACCAGGCGACCTCTTGCTTCAAGTCGCACCTGTGGGCTGACTCGAAGTCCTAAGAGCTTGATCTTAAACATCTGCCAATCCACCGGTCCTCCCAGGCATCTTAGGCAGGATCCCTACCCAACACAACTTCTGCCTGCAGAGGGCATCGAAACGCAAACCTAGCTTTTTGCTCCCCTGCTCAGCCAGCTCCAGGGGCTCTCATCTTCAGCAAAGGCCCCATCTCAAGAGTTGGGCTCACTGTTGTCCCATCTTCCTGCCACAAAGGCTTCCTCTAATCCATTTATTCTGGAGACCAAGGCTTGTGCCTCCCACAGCCACGCAGTCCCCTCTCCCCACCACTGCCTGTAACCGGGCTTCTAAGAGCTGAAAACCTACCACTGCCAGTGACTCCTATTTTCCCACTTGGCATAGGTACTGTGTTCAACCCAGGTCCAAAGCCGCCTCCCCTGGCTGCAGGATACTGCTTTCATTCCTTTTCCTCCTTTCTTTCCGTGTCTATCCACTCGTCTCCACAATGGGCTTCTCAAATCAAATCAGTCACAGCCCCTCACTGCTGACATCCATCTCTGCCATCCAGCATGGTGGGTGCAGATGGACTGAGTCCTGCTGTCCTGTTCTGTGGCGTCGTCCTCAGCTTCCCCTTGTGCTGGACTTGCAGAGGACCCTGTGGAGCTCAGGTTCCTTCTGGCTCTTTGTTTCTCTTCTAGGCCAGGGTTTCCTCTCTCCCACCTTCTGCCCCCCAACAGGATGCTTCAGTAGGAGTCCTTTTTTTTTTTGGCCAGGAGCCTGCTTTATGAATGACACTCGTTGGGGTGAAACTGTCCCTGGCACCGGGCACAGCCCTTGCCAGTCAAGAGGCCCCCGCAGATGCCTGGGGCCCAGGCACTAGGAGTCCTTTTCAACACTGGTTCTCTTTCCTTAGCCTGACCCGGCTTAGCTCTTGGCCCAGGAGGTGCCAGTGCTGCCTTCTGAAGCAGGACGGGGTTCACCCCAGGCTTTCCAGCCCTGCCTGCAGGGAACATCTGTTCAGGAAAGGAACATCTTCCTGTGTCACTGTGGTGACTCCCATCTATGGGTTGTGTTTGTCGAGACAACGCAGTGTCATTGCCCTCACACTGACATAAGTGTGTTCTGCTTTTCTAGAATGAGTCTGCAGGTCTTAAATGATGAAAATGTCACCCATGAGAAAAGTACAGAAAACTGTGACTTCCTGTTTTCACCACCACCCCATACCGGAACAACATCTGTTCTTGGTCTGTCACAGAAGGAAAATGTACCACCCAAGAACGCTGCCAAAGCCACCAAGGTAAGAGCAAACTCTGGTGTGTGTTCACTGGGGGCCTCCGTGCTGCTCCCAGCATGGTTGTGAACAGGTGCTGTGTCCTCACTCTCTACAGGTGACTTTTCAGACACCTCTGCGGGATCCACAGACACGAAGGATCCTGAGTCCCAACATGACCAGCAAACTTGAGACCCTTCTTGCTCTGGATGACAGCATTAGGTTAGAAAAGTCTCACTACGCTTGGGTACAGAAAGAGACGTGAGTGTTGGTGCCATTTCTCTTTCTCCTGATCTCTGCTCTGGGTGCATGCAGGGGTATGGCCCATGTGTCAGTAGGAAGTTAAGTCATCAGACCCTTAGTAAATTTTAGTTTCGTATCTCACTTGTTTGCTGTCCCTTTGCCAATGGGTCTTTGTTTCTGTAACCTGACAAAACATCCTGACCTCATCTCCAGAAAGATGATCTGCAGTTTCCTTCTCTTGCATTTCACTCCTGTCTCCCCTCACTTGACAATGCTTCCCTTTCCAGTTGGTGCTTGGAGAGAGCAGATGAGACATGCAGACAGAGAAACTCATGTAACCCCTCAGTCAGAGTACATGTGGCCCAAGGGAAGCGGACAAAGCACTTGCCCGCTATAGTAGAAGCCCCTCTGGGATGGACACACCAGGCACAGGGGAGTCTGGGGTAGGCTGGGCTCTGCAGATGGCCAGGTGGCCTGCTGGGATGATGGACAGATGCTGAGGCTTTCCCAGGAGGTAGTGCTCAACCTGTCTGCCACCAGGGATGCAGCTGTGTCCAGGACAAGGAAGGATTTCACTAGTGTGATTTGGAGGGGGGGGAGGTTGTTGTTAGTGGTGCTGGGGATGGAACCTAGGACCTCAAGCATACTAGCCAAACATTCTACCACTCAGGACCTTGTGCTTGCAAGGCAGGCACAGCACCACTGAGCTAAATCCCTGGCCCCCTGAAAGGTTGAAAGGTGAAAGGTTTCTTCACCTCAGCTTTCCTCTTCTCAGTGAAAAGCCAGACCCTCATGAGTTCTGGCCATCCTGGCCATGAAGCTCTGGACCCAGAGTGGAGGGGACTGTGGCTCCATGAGAACACCTTGCTGGCACAGCTGGCTTATTGCCTCTCTGTTCTGTTTCTCAGAGCCCATGTGTCCCCAGTGCCACTAGCACGGATATGCAGGCCTATGCCTCTTGCCACATGGGCCAGGGTAGGGCTGACTGGATGTTCTCATTTTCTCTCTGTCACTCCTATCTCCACATGGACTAGAATCTTACTGAAAAGCCTCTGGGGGGCTGGGGATTTAGCTCAGTGGTTCTGCCGCCTGCTTCCCAAGTGCAAGGACCCGAGTTCGATCCCTGGCACCAAAAAAAAAAAAAAGAAAAAAAAAGCCTATAGGTCCCTTAGTGTTAACTAAGTCTGTTATTAAAAAGCCAACAGCTCCCGAAGGATATGGATACCATGTTGCCCAATGGAATTCTCCAGAAACCAGCTGTGGCCGGTGCTGGCCTTTCTCCAGGGGACACCACCTCAGCCTCCGAAGATGACAGCTGCAGCAAACCTGGCCCTGTGCACCTTGCTGACCCACGTGCCCCACGTTCTCCCCAGAGCCTGGGAAGTCCTGAAAATAAGATGTCTCCAGGACAAATGTCTGGGAGCACTGGCCAGGCCTTGAAGGATAGTGTTAGTTCTCAATCCTCAGCTGAAAGCACGCCCCCTACCGCTGAGGTCCTCGAAGATCTTCCAGCACCCCAACACCAAGTGGGCACTCCTCCTGCAACCCTGGGAGGGAGCCCCTCCAGCTCTGCCCCGGCCCAGGCTGCTGTTCCTGGAGGCCCAGGTGCAGACGCACCCCCGAAAGACCTGCCTTGCCCCCAGAACATGGCCCTGGCCAGCCCAGATCCCCATAGAGAGGAAGCTGCCAGCCAAAGTGCCATTGATTCCAGGTGTGAGCCCATAAGGCTAGAATTTGACTTCTCTGATGGGGCAGTCAGCAGAAGGGCAGATCCAGCATGGAGACAAGGAAAAAGGACCAAGGAGAGGCAGCCACAGGCTCCCAAGAAGGCAGAAGAGGGAGATAGGGCCAGAGGGGCAGATGAGACCCCTGCACTGGCTTCCCGGGGCTCCTACCACCTCAACTGGGACAAGCTGGATGACCCAAACTGCAACCCCTTTAGAGGTGGCTCTACATTGGCCAGCAAAGAAGCCCTGCCCCCTGAAAGCCCTGGGGCCAGGTTGGCAACACCTGCAGAGGACTCACCTCAGAGCCAGTAAGTGGGCAGATGGCCATGTCAAGTGTGCTGAGCAGGGGCTTTGGGCAGGCAGGCTCAGGAGACCCCTAGGGACCCTGACTCCCTGGGCAATGTCGTCCATTCCTTCTAGCACAAGCTCTGCCTTGGGGGACCAATGCAGCTGGAGGGGGAGGGGGGCAGCTTGGTGCCAGGCTACAGGATGTGAGGGGTGGCATGCAGCCCTCTGCTGCCTCTCTCTCCAGGCAGATGTACGCAGTCCCAGAGGATTACAGGGCTGAGGTGCAGATGGCGGCTGATACCCTGAGCACAGAGGGCCAGGTGCAGGTGTGTACATGAGCATGGTGTGTCCCACACCAGAAGACCCGGGTGGGATGGGCTGCAGCCCTCCCCTTCCCTAGATTCCCACTGGGGTCTTTAACAGCAAGAAGTGACACTGACCTCCCCCCGCAGGAGGGAACCTTGAGCTCCTCAGATGCCTCAGCTTCCACGTGTGACCTGGATTGTGTGCTGCCAGCCCCCTCCCAGCCTGGCCCACAGCCCATCCTGAACCTGGAGGAAGAGAGCTTCAGAGACCCTGCCGAGGGTGCGTAGCCCGAGTGCTGACTGGGTCCCATGGGCACCTGTGTTCTGTTGCTTGGCTCAGCTGCATTGCTTGCAGATGACTGATTTGCAGGCTGCTCTGTGCCCTGACTTTAAATGATGCAGATACAAGCATCTGTCCTCAGGATGGGGGTTCTTGGTAGAACAGGACGGATACCTCCACTGTTGAAGGATTTTGGGAATAGAAATGAAAGACGTGGAAAAGTAGGCAAAAGGGCTCGGGAAGTGATTCAGAAACAGCACTTTGCTCACATGTAGGAAGCCCAATACCACAAAAAAAGAAAGGGAAAAGAAACAGGTAGGAAAAGTGAGCTAGACAGTGCACAGGTGAGAGACAGATGCTCAGTAAGCCATTGGGCACCCACTGGTGATCAAAGAAATACTGTTAAGGCCGGGGATTTAGCTCAGTGGTTTCGCTACCTGCTGTGCAGGTGCAAGGACCCGAGTTCGATCCCTGGTACCAAAAAAAAAAAAAAAAAAAAGAAATACTGTTAAAGTGCATGTAATGAGAGCTTGTGACTGAATTAAAGGACCTCAGTTTTAACCCACAGTCTGCCAGGCACGGTGGCACACACCTGTAATCCCAGCACTCTGGGAAGCTGAAGCAGGAAGATCACAGATTTGAGCCTAGCTTGAGCAACAGTAAGACCTTGTCTCACTTGGCGACACTAAGACCCTGTCTTAAAAAAATCTAAAGAAAAGGGCCAGGGATTTAGCTCAGTGGTTCCACTGCCTGCCTCGCAAGCGCAAGGAGCTGAGTTCAATCCCCGGTAGCAAAAAAAAAATCTAAAAATAAAAGGCTGTGGATGTAGCTCTGTGTGCAGCCCTGGATCCCATCCCCAGTACCACCAGGACCCTGCAGTGATCACGGAGACTGGCAGTAGGTGAAGTGTTTGTCTCTGGCACTAGCATCCTGGCCCTTGCCCCGTGGGAGAGCCCGGCGGAGGCAGGCCGGCACCCAGCCGGGCCCTAGAGCCGCCACACAGAGCAGCCTGTGTCTGTGCCTCCCCCAGCTCGTCGGTCCAGGCCCTGGCTGTGCCACAGCAGCCGTCAGTGTGTCCCTTTGGTTTGTGGCCCCGCTTAGCTGTCATAAGTAGTGCTGCTGTGAACACGTGGGCAAGAGTTTTTGTGTGGACTTTTTAGCTCCTCTGGGTGTAGACCCCGGAGTGGAATCTCTGCATCTGTCACCATGATTAACAGTTTGAGGAACTGCCAGACTGTTTTCCAAGTACCTGCACCATTTTACGTCCCTACCGGCAGTGGAGAAGGCTGCAGTTCCTCCATGTCCTCGTCACTTGCCGTCCCCCAGTGTCATGACTGTCCATCCAGAAAGTGTGGAGCAGTGTCTGGCTGTGATCTGTGTTTCCGTGATGGCTGAGGAACAGCTTTTGAGCATTGTTTCATGTGCTGTTGGCCACTTGTGTATCTGGACAAATATCTACTCAAGTCCTTTGCCCATTTTTTCAATTACCTTTTTAGTGCTGAGTTGTACAGAAATAAACCTCTTACCAGCTATGTGATTTGAAAACACAGTTGGCCTTCTATTGATGGTTTCCATGTCCTTGGATTCAGTCAGCCTTAGGTAAGAGGCCCTCCACCCCTCAATGCTGGGGTTTGAATCCTGGGCCTTTGCACTGAGCTACATCTCCAGCTACTTTTTTTTTTTTTGAGACAGGGTCTCAATGAGTTAGCCAGACTGAACTCAAACTTGTAATCCTCCTGCCTAAGCCTCCCAGTATAGCTGAAATTATAGATGTGCACCATTCCACCCAACTCAAGAAACATTTTTAAACTTGCCTCATCTGGGGCCAGGGATTTAGCTCAGTGGTTCCGCCACCTGCCTCGAAAGCACAAGGTCCTGAGTTCGATCCCCAGTACCAAAAAAAAAACTTGCCTCTACTGAAAGAGTGAGGAGTTGGGCCGGGGATTTAGCTCAGTGGTTTTGCCGCCTGCTGCACAACCACAAGGACCCGAGTTCGATCCCTGGTACCAAAAAAAAAAAAAAAAGGTGAGGAGTCACTCCCCAAGGGCACAGCAGTGACCCCAGTGTGGCTCCCCCAGGGCTGGGAACACTCCACACCTGTATCGCTGGAGAACTACAATCCCACCCTGCCAGGCACTATGGGAACTGCTGGTGTGGGGCTGAGCCTGGGTCCCGGAGAGGTGACAGTGACGCAACTTGATCTCTCTCAGTTCTAGGCACCGGTGCTGAGGTGGATTATCTAGAGCAGTTCGGGACATCCTCGGTAGGTACCAGGCACTTGTAGCGGTGTCCTGTGGCACATGTGCAGCCTGATGTTCCTACAGCTGCAGTCCTAGCTGACTCCCAGCCCGGGTGCCCACCCTAAGAGGAGAGGGGTGTGCCGTGCTGCTGGGCAGGGGTGCCTCCTGGCAGAGCTATGGGCATCAGCTCCTCATCCCCGGATCAGCCACCCACAGGGACAGTAGTGCAGCTGCTGACCTGCCCGGTCCTCCCAGTTTAAGGAGTCGGCCTGGAGGAAACAGTCCTTGTACCTGAAGTTCGACCCTCTCCTGAAGGACAGCCCTCTGCGGCCAGTGCCCGTGGTCCCAGTGACAGACAGGTGCGTAGGTCGGAAAGGCAGGTACCTGCCACTACAGTGATCAGACTTGTAGCTCTGGGTCACAGTGACAGCTGAGTGGGAGAGGGAGCCTGGAACCGCCCTTGTGTGGCCACAAGATGCCTGCAGTTGGGCCCTCCCTTGCTTGTCCTGCCCACCCTGCAGTTCCCAAAGTGGGTGAAAGCTCTGAGTATAGATGCAGATGCTGTAGGACAAGTCAGTGACCGACCTGCGGGCCACACTCTGCCCTCTTTGTCAGTAAAACTCATTGGCCCACGATCACAGCCGCTTCTTCACAAACTGCCTGGTCACCCACGGTCCAGAGCAGAACAGAGCAGTGACAGAACCCACATGGTCTTCAAATGTGAACACATTTAGCCCCTGGCATTTGTGGAAAACCCTGGGCTAAAGGCCTGCTCTGGGAGAGACCAAGCAGTGTACTATAGTGCTGGCCTGTAATCCCAGCACTCAGGAGGCAGCCAAGAGGATCATGAATTCAAGGCCAACCTGGGCTGTACAGTGAGTTCAAGATTGGCCTGAACGACAAAGCGAGACCCTGTCTTTGAAAAAAAAGCTCGGTTAGGACTGGATATGGTGTCAGGTGCCTGTAGTCCCAGCTGCTCAGGAGGCTGAGGTGAGAGGCTTTGTGAACTCAGAGGCGTCCTGGGCAGCACAGTAAGACCCTGTCCCCTCTAAAAGATGTAGCTCAGTGACAGAGCACTTGCCTAGCGTGTGCAAGGCCCTGAGTGTTCTGCTCAGTGCGGCGAGGGTGTGGCATGACCGGCTACTGTCTGGTCCCAGGGTGCAGGGTACAGAGGAGCCGTCCTCAGGGAACTCAACAGAAGCCAGGCTTGTGGAGCTGGATTTCCTGGGTGTGCTGGATGTCCCCGTGAGTATTCATCTCTGGAGTGGTTGTCTTGTGGTCTGAGGAGATGTAGGTAGTTTCGAGGCACCTTGCAATTGTGGGTGTCTACGGCCTTCGGGTCAGGCGAGGGGCCCAGGCCACTGGCTACCCACTTCCAACAAGGTGCTTGTGGCCAGTCCCTCCCCAAGCCACCCACCGTGAAGGCACTGTCTGTGTGCAGCCCTGGCCCCCGACTCCTGCTGGCCAGGCAAGCTGCTCTTCCCTGCTACACTCGACATGGACAGTGGTTCAGTGTCTTACCCCCAGGTACCAGGCCCACCCCTGAATGTCCTGGAGCCTGGTGGCCTGCCCCCACCCACCCGGCCCATTCCCATTGTGGATGTGCTACAGTATAGCCAGAGCGACCTGGATGCAGCGGTAAGGACACGGGTACCCTGGAGAGAGAATGCTGGGGGCTGGGCTCAGGACTCGGCACAGGGTCCGGCACTTGCATCCCATCCACCAGTCCCGACAACCATCCCTGCCTTTGCCACCTGGGCTAGAGCCACACACATTCACCTTCTCCCCTCTGCCCCTAGCCTGGCCCTGTCTCGAGGAACTGAGGATCCCAACTCCCCCAGCGGCTTAGCGGCACCCCTGCACCAAACAAAACTATCACCCTGCCCTAGAAGAGGGGACCGGGCCCTGGGAGAGAGCACAGCCCAGACAGCTTAGAATTCTCACCTCACCCTTCCTGGGCCGCAGCCCTGGCGCTTGGTCCCGTGGCCATGGCCATCCTCCATCCTCCGGGACACGTGGAGGCCCAGCCTGTTCTAACTTGGGCTCTGAGTCACTGAAGAGAAGCTGTGGCAGGCTGGCCCCGCTCGCTCACTCCCCTGGTGTACCTATGCAGGGAGAGCTGATCACAGGGCTGCCTCGGGCCCCGGTCCCCTCCTCTTGGGTGTGACCTCTGGGGGAGCCTGCACCCACAGGCTTAGGACACAGCAGGCAGCCTCACCCTGACCAGGGCCCCTGAGACTCGAGGATGGCTCTGAAGCCCTGGACTGGGGACCAAGTACAGGGCACCCCTGGAGCTGACGGGTGTGGGGCCCTGCAGGTGAGTGCAGCCCAGGAGGAGAACAAGGAGCTGAGGCGCCGGTGTGAGGAGCTACAAGGAAAGACCCTGGAGATGGGGTAAGCTCGTGCCAGGCCTGCCTGCCCAAAGTCCCGGGCGCTCATCGGGTCTGCCCGGCAGTCACCCTGCCCTCCCTCCACAGGAGGATCATGGACGGCTTTGAGGGCATTGTGTACCAGGCAATGGGTGAGTGCTGGCCCCCGCACCATCTTGCCTGCAGCAGACTGCCCCCCACAGTGGGACGAGGGGGTGTATGTGTCCCTGTGGGGCTGCCACGTGCTGGGCCTGTGTCACTCACGGGTCACCTGACGGGTCCACACCTGCCTGCCCAGTGCCTCCCCACCCCTCGAGTTTGGCAGCTGCCCTGACCCTAGCGCTTGCTCTTCTCAAGAGGATGCTCAGAAGCAGAAGGAGCTCGCCAGCACTGAGATCCAGAGGGTCCTCAGGGAGAGAGACCAGCTCACCGCAGACCTGAACTCCATGGAGAAGTCCTTCTCTGACCTCTTCAAGCGCTTTGAGAAGCAGAAGGAGGCGATTGAAGGCTACCAGAAGGTGCGTCGCACCCTTCTCCCCACACCTCCCTTCTCAGGTCAGGACTCGCCCTGCAGGAGAGGTCAGGGCACTGGCCGTCTGCTGGGCCCAGCCCTCCCGGCCACAAGCCCCTCTGCAGCAAGTGAGGCCGCCCAGGCATGAGGGGGCTGTGCAGCCAGGAGCCTGGGGCCAGGCCACAGGCAGCGGTCCCAGTCCCTGGGGACGGTGGACCAGGCCGGAGTGTGCCAAGCCCTATGTCGCTGCTTGTGCCCCAAAGCCTTGTGGTCTCTGGGGGAACCGCTGTTCACGGGTCCTGTCTGCCATCCCACAGAACGAGGAGTCGCTGAAGAAGTGCGTGGAAGACTACATCGCCAGGGTAGAGAAGGAGGGCCAGCGGTACCAGGCGCTGAAGGCTCACGCGGAGGAGAAGCTCAGGCTGTAAGCACCACTGGTGGCTGAGGGAGGTGGCCCCTGCCCGGGCTCTGCTCAGCCTCTGCCCTCTGCCCTCCTCCCTCCACCCTGCAGGGCGAACGAGGAGATCGCCCAGGTCCGGAGCAAGGCGCAGGCAGAGGCACTGGCCTTCCAGGCAAACCTAAGGAAGGCACAGATGCAGGTCCAGTCGCTGGAGAAGGCCGTGGAGCAGAAGGTGGGCTCAGGGCCCTGCCGCTTCTCTCTCCCTGCCCTGGGCTCCCTCCGAGCGTCCTGCAGAAACCCAGCCCTCCCTTTTCTCCTCAGACCAAGGAGAATGAGGAGCTGACCCGGATTTGTGACGACCTCATCTCCAAGATGGAGAAGATCTGACCAGAGCCGTGGCCACAGTGGCCCCTGCTGCTTATCTGCCTGCCTGCCTACCTGTCTGTCTGTCTGTCTAATTTTCTTAGTTTTTGTGTTCTTCTCTTCATCTGTTTTTAAACTAGATTGTCTTAGGCCAGTGTGACAGTGCACAGTGACCCCAGCACTTGGGAGGCTGAGACGGGAGGATCATTATGAGTTCAAGTCCAGCCTGGGCCACACAGCAAGATCCTATCTCAAAATTTAAAAATAAAAATTAAAAAACCTAGATTGTCTTTAAAAGAGGACTAAATAAAGTTTCCCTTAAACTCAGACTGCACAGCCATCCTGGTCTTGCTTATGATGAGGGTGTCCCAGCTGTGGGCTGAGGACCCAACCCATCACCCTGAGCTGATGGGCCCCCCTGCCCGAGGGGCCCGAGTCCTGCCATTTGCCTGGGGTATGGGACCCTAGGTCAGCAGCCACACAGACCCAGCTGTTCACAAAGGGCGACCAGCCTGATGCCAGGGCGCAGCCAGTTTGGTGTGGGCTAGCGGCCTGGCGTGCACAAAGATGCTGCAGATGTGGCTGGTGACTGCCAGTTGGGCAAGGCCACTGCCCTGCGGGTGGCAAGGGGCGCAGGGGTCCGTTTTCCCTGAGGAGAAAGATTCTCTCAGACGAAAGGCCAGTGCCCACCTCCAGCCTCACTTGGATGTGCCCTCAAGAACACAGACCACATACGCCAAGGACTCCCCAGAACCCTAGATAGGCGGCATGTCCCTAAGCCCTGGAGTGAGAAACAGTCTCTACGTCAGCAGGGGCTGGCTCCACAGACAGACGGCCCCAAGGTACAGAGCTGCACCCCAGGGCCCTCAGGATGGGCCCTAGGATGCCCTCTGAACAGGCAGAGACACCCCAGAACCCCTGCCACAGGACTTGGCTCACAGCCTGGCAACAGAGCCCAGCCAGTGTCCAGGAAGCAGGCAGATGCCTAGCCCGGCCTGAGGACACCCTGAGGCCAGTGCTACCTCCCCTCCGTGAGGAGTGCCAGTCCCACCCAGGCCACTCACAGGGCCCCAGGGGCCCCAGCCCCTCCAAAGGGCTTGGACCTGCTCCAGGGACTCCCTGCAGGCCTACAGGGCACCTGGGGCATGGTGACCACCAGGGGGCACTGCCGGCCGTAGCCCACTGGGGTAGCCAGGGAGCAGAAGGCCTGGGCGGGGTTCAGAGGTGTGGCTCAGGAGCCCCCACCCCATGCTCAGGGCCACCAGTGGGCATCCACAGACCCCTGGGGGAGGGGAATTTGTCTCAGCCCTGGTTTGGGCAGAGGCCACGTGGCCATGCCAGGCATTATGGGGGCGGGGACCAGAGTCAGCCTCCCAGGGAGCCGGGCAGCCACCCTGCCCTGGGCCTCAAGGCCTCTGTCCCCTTGCCACAGTCCAGCCCCATTCGCCTTTCCAGATGCTCAGAACCTCCTGGCTGGCCCCCTGGGACCACCCCACGCTTCCCCACTGGCACCCCCAACACACCCACACTCCCACCAGGGGGTCCTGGCTGCTGGGAGCTCCAGAGACTGCCAGCCCACTTCCCTGGGCAGTGTGGGCAGCTCCCCTGCAGGGCCAGGGGGTCTCTGCAGAGTCCCGGAGGCAGCTGGGTCTCCCCCTGGCTCTGCCCACCTGCCCCTCCCAGCCCCTCCGTGGGCTTGTGGTTCCATTCCCCACAGGGGCCCCTCAGAGCCATGCTGAGTCTGCCCAGAGCAGGCCTCGTACGGTAGCTGGACATGTCGGGGCAGCCAGCCTGGCCTGGGGCTGCGCCGAGGACACTGGCCGCCGGGCAGTGTCCTGGCCTGAGCCTCTCTGCGGGACAAAGGGGCCTTGTGTGGCTGAATGGGTATTTATCCTGGAGCCGAGTTAACTCGGGCCGCACGGCCAGGCGGGGGCCTGGCACTGGCCCTCCGTGGGTAAACATGACCCCATCTGGGCACACAGCGGGGGCCTGCACTTCCGCAGCCCTGTGGCCTGACATCTAGGCGGTCGGTGCCCCATGGGCTCCCTGCCAGGACAGGACAAGGAGCAAGAGTGCCCTGGGGCCGCCCCCCCGCCTCACTGCCAAGCGGCAGGGGGGAGGCTGCCCTGTCCCAGGGCCTGGCAGGCCAGGCCCACAGAAGCCCCTCCGTGGGCAGCCCGGCCTGCGCTGGAATCCCAGCTACAGATGGAGATGGGGTGGGTAGGAGTGATAGGGCCACACGAGATCACAGGAGGGACGGGGTGAGGGTCCTAGTTAGAAAAAGGCGGTGGCACTCTGGCACCAAGGGCAGAGCGGGAAGGGGCACGTGCAGGCCGGCAAGCCCTCCCCAGATCCTGGGCACCAGCACCAGGTCGTCGTCCAGCTTCCAGGCTGAGGGTAAACTGCAGCATAAGCCCCAGTCCGTGTTTTTTGTCTTCTTTTGTTTTGTTGAGATGGGCTCTTGCTGCGTAGTCCAAGCTGGTCTTGAACTTGAGGCAATCCTTCTGCCTCAGCCTCCTGAGTGCTGGGATTACAGGTGTGCCTGGCTGGGTCTGGTTCTGGTATGCAGCAGAATAAGAGCTCACCAGCAGAGGGGATGCCTGGCCTCTGCCCACCCAGTGCCCCTTCATCCTGCCTGCACCAGCACCCACAGCCTGGCTGGCACCCCACACAGGCACCCAGGTCCCCTCAAAGGCCCTCGTGGGGTCCCCTGGGCTGGGCTGAGCCACCCCCTGCACTGGTCAGGAGCCTTGCATGGGACCAAGTGATGCTGCCTCTCTAACTTCACTGCCCCGTGTGCCCGGACTCTGGCAGGCCCCAGGCCCCCAGTCAGAGCCCCAGCTCCCTTGGATGTCAGGTGCCGCCCAGCCCAGGCTGAACCTTGCCCTCTGGCTCTCAGAGTCCAAGCTTCCGGGTCGCTGCATGCCCAGCGAGCATCTGGAAGGCCCCCTGGGCTGGCATCCGGCTCTCCGGAAAGCCCCAGGGGTGTGGGTGCCCCTGGGACCTCCCTCTCACAGCACCCTCTGGCCCCCCTGGGTGGGCTGACATGTCCCTTGTTCCTGTCCCCGCAGGGCCCTGCTGGGGAGCACCCCAGGAAACAGGCCCGCAGAGGGGCTGTGCTGGATTCTGCTTGGGATGTGCTCGCTCGCAGGGAGCACATTGGGGTTGCCCTGAGAACAGAGGACACTTTCAAAGGGCGCTGCTCCTGGAGGGCCCTGGGTCTGCCCACAGGGGCGCTGCTCCCTGACCCACACTCCTGGACCTGGGGCTCCTTGGCATAGCCCCTGTCGCCACAGCTGGACGAGCCATTGGACCGGGCAGCCTGCAGAGGGCGCAGCTGGACCGGCCAAGCCCAGCCTGCAACCATCCGCCCTCCTGGGGCGTCAAGCACCTGTACCAGCCCCTGACCAGCTAGGTGTGGGTGTGTCCCGCGGGAGCCTTGCCTTCCACACCACCACTCTCCTGAGGATCCTTACCCACTCCTTAGGCCCCAGGAAGCCGCAGCAGCACAGCTAGGGAGAGCTCCAGGCTGCAGGGTGCCCACACCCAGCCCGGTCGGCAGTGGCCGTGGGGGCTGCCTGCTGGATGCCTGCCACGAGGCCCTGGAATTCACAGTACTTTCCGCAGGCTGGGCTCAGCCCCTCACCTCTGCAGTTGCACTCGGTGGATAGTTACTGCTGGAGTGGACCCCACCCTGGAGGTGCTTGGGCATTTGTGGGATGGATGGGCAGGTGGGTGGATGGATTAATGTCACGCACCAAGGGACTCCTCCACACCAGGCACCGGGATGCACACGGGTACCCTCGCTACTCAGGAGAGGGAGGCAGGAGGACCACGAGTTTGTGGCGAGCCTGGCCATTGCCCCAAGCCCTGACTCCGAACAGCATAAAAAGGGCTGAAGTGTAGCTCAGCGCTGAGCACCGCGTAGCATCAGGGCCCTGGGTTCATCCCCAGCGCTGAAAATTTTAAAAGGCCCCTCACATGGCCTCACCTTGCTTCCAGGCCAGCACAGAGAATGTGAGGGCTTCAGGCCATCTCGCAGGCAGTGTGAGGACAGCACGGTGTCCCTCTGTCCCTCCACCCTGTGTCCCCTCTGCCACCCTGCTCTCCATCCACCCACCCGCTCCTCGCACCTGGCTAGGAGCCCTTGAGCAAGGGAGGTGGACCCCGGGTGCAGGGCACAGTGGGCCTGGGGAGGGGCCTGCTGGCCTTTATCTTTGGTGGACAGTGAGTGTGAGCACGCACGAAAGAAAGGGCTCCTGTGTGGGCAGACGTGGGGCTCCATGCTGCTGGGGCGGCCCCGCCATTAAGCCCAGGGACTTGTTAGGAGCTTGGAGGGTCCCACCTGCCTGGGGGCTGCTCAGACCCCTCCTGAGCCCTCTCTGGGACACCTGGCTAGTGGGGTGACCCCAGGGCACAGCCTGTGAGGCCAGCACCAGACCCAGTGCCTCAGGCCCAAACCTGAGCGTCCCATGGAGCCGACAGGCCCAGCACTGCTGCCTGGCTCTGGCAGCCCTGGAACTGCTGCCCCAACCACAGCCCTTGGCCACCTCCCAGCCACCCTGACTGGGAAAGGGTCCCCATCCGTCAGAGTGGCCCGAGCTCCTTCTCCGTTCCAGGCCCTGTTCTTCCAGGCCAGGGGAGTGTGAAGGGCATGGACAGCACGTGCAGGACACGACAGGTGACAGGGCCAGGGCACCCGGAGGGGAGGAGCAGAAGGGGGCATCTTGGGTGGGCTCCAGGTGCCCCTATGCCACCCTGTTCTGTTCACCCCTCCCGCTCCACACCAGGGTCTGCTCCGTTGTCCCCACCCCACAGCCCATGCAGGCTCTCCTAACTCTGCTACACTGCGCTCACTCCGCCCTGCCCAGCTCCCCCTTCACAGCAGCAGGGAGTTGGGAGAGGCTACCTGGGACCCCAACATCCCCACCGCCCAGTGTCCACCAGGATCCTGCACCTGCCCTGGGCCCTTCCCATCTGTATTGAGGCCCTGGGCCGTGGCCCTCGGCTCTCTGGACCTAGAAGGTGGCCTCCTTCCAGGGTCTACTGAAGCCCCTACCCCAGATGGCCAGGTCGCTGAGGGACTCGTCCTGTATCAGGCCCGGCAGGCACTTTGCACACAGCCTGGTGGCAGGCCCCTGGGGATAAGAGACACATGGCCAGCACGGCACCCGGCCCTCAGGCAGCTCTCCCAAGAGCCAGGTGGGGTGGGACCAACAACAGGGACCTCAGGCCTCCCTGCGAGGGGACACCTCACCACAGGCTTGCTGACTGGTAAACCCCAGACCCCTTCCTGAGGCCACCTGCACCAGCTCCTCTTGAGCTACCT